AGCAGTGACGTATATAGTGGCGTGATGCTAATAATAAAATGGTTTATACTAGCCATTATTATAATTTATAGTGTTAAGTAAAGTTTCGCTGGTTAGGTCCGCCAATCGGTGGTAACAATATTATGCGTTTAACTTTTGATATTGCTTAAATGCTTAATGTTAAAATAAAGTACATAGTTTGTTAGTTTGTACTGTGTTAACAGTTAATATATAATAACTGTATTTGGGCATACTATAATGTAGTATTTAAATAATTTGTTGTACTATTTACATAACTGTTTGAAATATACACAATGAAAGCTTATGGCGATTTGTAGAAATGCTATGTATAAAATTTGATATTTCTTAAATAGATATCCGCAGTATGACGTCTTATAAAATTGTATAAAATTGAATAAAATAATTTGATACTTACTTATGCTTTGTTTTATTTTATATTTTATTTAACAGGATGTGTAGGGACGCTATTCAACCACAGCCACCACTGACGGCTTCTGTTGAAGTACGAAGTGCGTTTAAAAGATATAACGCATCGGCTATCGTGCTCAGAGGAGTCTCCCTCACCGTCCGTAGAAATACAATGTATATAAAGGCATTATTATATTAATTATTAGATGTGTAAATAAAATATACACTTATTATTTTACATCAATATCATATAATAATATAACTAATACGGTTGTCGATGTGTTTATTTTATTTTCAGCTATGGTTTATTAGGACCTAGTGGATGTGGTAAAACAACCCTCTTAAATTGCATAGTCGGTAGAACGAAACTGGATAACGGTGTCATCAATTTAGAATCAAATGTGATTGATGATATTGGTTACATGCCACAAGTAATAGAATTTATTTTTCGTATTACCTACTTATAATAGTTATAATACTATAATGTATATTTATATTTTATATTAATATAACAACGAATTATGTTTTTAGGATTTATGTTTAGATCCTTTACTTAGCGTTGAAGAAATTTTTTTTTACTTTGGAACAATTTTTGGTCGTTCTCGAAGTGAAATAATTACTCGTTATAAATATTTCAATACTTTATTTGACTTGCCTGAACGAAACATGTTGATAAACAATTTAAGGTAAGCACAACTAAAATATATTACCCTCAAAGAATGAAATATTAGTTAGAATCCTATTAGTGAATGTACAAGCACAGCGTTAAACAGATACCTACACAAAATTAAACGGAATGTTTGGCATTGTTAAGTAGCAGCTATCGCCCGTCAAGGGACTATATATTTAAACTTTTTTCGTGTCATGAATTATGGGCATTGCAAATTCTTTTTCAAAGTTAAAAATTAATCAGTAGTATATTAACTTAACTATATGTGGTATAGAAATATAATTTAGTTTAAGTTTAAATAAATAAATTGAATAATACAATTTAAAAATTATGATTTTTTAGTGGAGGCCAACAACGGAGAGTTTCCCTCGCAGTTGCTCTTCTCCACAATCCAACTCTTTTAATATTAGACGAGCCCACTGTAGGTTTAGATCCAATACTGAGTGAAAAGTAAGTAATACATGAAATACAAGACGTATACCTATAATAACTAATAAGACATAAAATATACTCACTTAATAATTTATCTATACTCATGACCCTCATAGGTACCTACCATGTGTTCATACCATAAATTAATTTGTTTTAGAATCTGGTTACATTTATCAGACTTGTCTTCGGAAGGCAAGACAATAATTATTACTACACATTATATAGAAGAAGCTAGAAGAGCACACACAGTTGGTATGATGAGAAGCGGAATAATATTATCAGAAGATGCTCCGGAAAATTTAATGAAATGTTACGGATGCTCATCTTTAGAAGACGTGTTCCTCAAGCTGTGTATGATTGATACGTCAAAAGTCATACAAGTAAATAATTTATTTTTTCTAGAGATTGAACTTCGTTATACTACCTATAAAATATACTTTTTCATATTACCTACATAGGTATTAGAATTAGGTAGACATCTATTTATATATTATTTAATAATATGGGCATTAGTATTTGGCACAATCTGGGGGTATTATTGCAATTGATATGATGACTAATAATTTTAATAATAACAAATATTGAGTTACTCAATGACAACAAAAAAGTAGAAAAGCTGTGACTGTAGCTATCAGAAATTTGCTATTCATTTTCAATTTTAACTGCCATTTTCTTAGATCGCTATTAGCGGTTTAAATGTCAGCCGAGTAAAAATAAAATGCTACAAGTTTTTCAAATAATTGATACTCTAATAAAAATTACTTACTTATCACAAAAATAAATAAATAATATCATTATTTGTCACTTCGGTTATGTAGTGAATGGAAATACTCCAGTATTAATAGTACCTACTAATCAATTATTTTGGATTATAAAAAAAGTCAAGGATCATATCGTTATATCTTGACTTTTTGAGAGAGACTATTGTCTATAATATTATTTTATTTACAAACATATTTTGTTAGGATTATTAGTAAATATCAAAATGGGTAAATTAAATAAGCGACTCTTTAATAATTAAATCATCTTAGCACCCACATAAATATCTCTAGTTGTGCTATTGAACTAAATAGATACTTAAAAAAACCTACTGAACTATTAATTATAATGCAATAAAAAAATTATATGATTATTAATATTTTTATTTTATACATGAGAAAATTATGTTTCTTATAAAATGTATATTATTGTTTAGAAGTCTTCATTGCCTATTGATGGTGGTGTACAAAAAAAATTGTTACCTTTAGACAATAACAGAAAATTCGAAACAAGACGATTTCGAGCTCAGATGTTAAAAAATCGATTTTTATTGTGGAGAAATAAACAGTAATAATATTATAATTACTATTGATAATCTTTTATAATATCAAAAACATCTTAATTATTTTAAAATAGTTGATATGAATTTATTTTTTAGGATGACTTATCTAATGTTGGGTCTGCCAATCATTATAACTTTATTTTTCAATATGGCAATCGGGCGTGATCCCAAAAACATAAGAATTGGAATTATAAATGAAGAAATCGGTTTAAGAGACTGTGCAAATTTTACCTATAAACACAATAATAATTGTTTCTTGAACGAAAACATTTATGGGAGTTGTCAATTAATTTATGAACTTCATAAAAGAACTTATAAAATTGTATGTAAATAAGAATAAACTATTATTATGTTTTGTTTTTTTCTAACATGCTTACTATTTAGTTAACTTACTTAGACTTAAATCAACATTTGTATAATAATTATACTACTAATTTGAAATGGTAATATGTACAGAGAGACTACTATAATATCGAAGAAGCAAAGACGTCTATAAAAAAAAATGAAATTTGGGCATTGTTACGGTTTAATATGAATTATACAGAATCGTTGAAGGATAGAGTTAACTCTGGTGAATACAGTAATAATGATGTGGTTGATCAGAGTTTTTTAGAGTTCTGGGTCGACGATTCAGGTGATTTTAATTTTATAAGAAACTATAATTTATATTTTTAAATCATACAGTATTATGGATATGTTTTAGATAGGTATATGTCAATTTTAATTGAAAGGGACGTAACATTGAGTTTAGCTGATGCTTTCAAAAATCTAGTTGGCTCTTGTAAAGATTCATTGGATAAAGTATTTTCTTATCCCATTAAGGTATCATAAACTATAACCTAATATATTCAAGTATTTTTTTGTTATATATTTAAACTAATTATTGTATTTTAGATTCATGATGCTCTGTATGGTTCAAATTCAGGGTCTTTTGCTCATTTTGTCGCACCAGGAACAGTATGCATGTATGTATTTCTAAGTTGTTCATTAATATTTATACTAGAATTAGGTAGTTACTATTTATTGAAATCAGTAAATATATTAATTGAGTAAGCACCCCAATATTAAACATATAGTTCTACATTTATAAATTGTCACTAACAAATTATTTTTAGATGTATGTTTTTCTTGCCATTAATATTCACAACTTTTGTTATGCTTGATGAGCAAAATGATGGAATACTGGACCGGGTATTAACTTCTGGTATGACATACCTTGAAATTGCATTAGCTCATTCAATTATTCAAATTACATACATATGTATTCAAGCAGTTGAAATTTATATAATGATGTACGTCTTCTATGATAATCCATATATTGGATCAATTACGATTGGATTCAGCCTCCTCATAGTCATAGGAATAACAGGAATGATATATGGTTAGTTTTAACACTTGTATTTTTGTTGATGCGTTTATCAATATATATTATATAAAATAAGTTTTTTTAATATTATTATTTGAAGGTTTTGTATTGGCTTTATCAAATGACAGTCATTTTGCAGCTGGATTTGCGGGAGTCGGCACTAATTTTTTGTTGATGTGTGCATGTGGTAAGTAAATAATTATTAAATATTAAATTATTTAAATAAACTATAATTTTTCAAACAATTTTTGTTCTTAGGTTTTATTTGGCCTACTCAAGGGGCTCGTCATTTTATTAAATATACCAACAAGTTTGTTCCAATTACATTGGCTATTGAAGCATTACGAGGTATAACCATGCGTGGTTGGTCTATTGATCATACAGCTGTTTATATGGGATTTGTTTCAATGTTAATTTGGGCTTTGATATTCTATTCAATATCTTATATGTTATACAAATCAAAGAAAGGCACATGGAAAAAAGTGTAGATATGAGATCTGCAGGATCTCAACATAAAAATAAATCTATGTGTCAAGTACAAAAGACTGCCAGAATGCTTTGTGGCAATCAAATAATTTAAGTTTTTTTTTGTAATATTAAAAATCTATGAGAAATTGTAAATAAATGTACTTAAAATAAATGTAATTTATTATATAGAACTCTAAATTATGTAAAAATAAAATATAAATAAATGAAAATAAAATATTTTCACAGTGAAAAATAGTTTTTAATATTTATTATGCATAATAAGTTAATAATATAATAAATATGCTATCTAGGTGCACATATTAAAGTTAAAATAGTTATTTTTTAAAATTATTTATTAATGAAAACACGGTTTGTATTATTTCTTTACAGTTATTACTATGATCAATTATTTCTAAATTATCGTTAATATCAATAATAAATTGATTAATATTATCTTCAATTGTTTTCTCACTAGACTGAGCTTCTAAATAACTCTTAGCCAAATTTGCCAATGACAATTTTTCAGAACCAAATATACTATCAAGATCGAATAATTCTAAAAATGGAGATGATAATTCTTGAAAAGGAGGTGGATATACCTAAAAGATAAATAGTATTAAAAAAGTTAAAAATAATAAACTTTTACATTTAAAATGTAATACTTACAGCAAATTGTAAAACAGGTAAGGTGTCATTGAAAGTAGGAGGAATGAGTTGTAACTGATTGTGAGGTACATTTAATGTTTTATACGCTTCAACAGTATCTGGTAACATTGAGGTATTTAAAGAACACAATTTAGTGTCTATAAGGGAATTTATGTTGTCAGCCGAAAATAAAAAATGGCTTGTATTGTTCAAACTTTCTTGAAGCTGTAGACAAGTGCGAACACGAGATGATAACATTCCAATATCTGGTACCATCTTATAATCTGAAGTCTTGAACAAGGAAAACAACATGTGTTATATTAGTAGAAGATTAAATGTATTATCTTAACTTCTAGTTTTCATCTATATTTTAGTAAAATATAAGCAACGTGAAAAACAAACTGTTATGAATATATTATATGTAAGTAAATAATTTATGCAAATAGTTCTTATTTTTTAGTAATTAGAGTAGGGTTTCTTTTTTATATTATGCTTAACTTATAAGTTATAACAAAAAAAAATGTTTAAAACCCCAGAAAATTTAAAATTTACATGTTTCCTGGTTTCTTAAGAGTAATTTTTTATACCTATTTTATTGGATAATATCAAACAACATAGTAACATTATATTCAAATAAGTTGATGACACATGTTTTATTTTTAATTATTTCAAATTAATTGTCAATAATAATCAAAACAAAATTGAAGATTTTATGTTTGTTATAACGTAATATTTGAACATTAAGGTTTAACTGAAATAAAACTCATTGTGAGTAGAATAGTTTAGAGAAGATTTATAAGAATTTTTATGAAAATAATTTTTTTATGAGACAGCATATTATAATAATTACTACAAATCATACAAATTTAAATAAAATAGCTTAATACATACCTCAGGATCATTAGCATCAATTTCATTTAAAGTTATATTATTTGTGATCAAGAAATCAAACAAAATTTCACGGATTTTATCATTTTCTTCCCAATTAATATATTTGTCTGTCAACAAATGACCAGAACCAATAACTGCTAGTTTTCCTTTTTTAGCTAAAATAATACATTAATTTAATTATTATATTAATAAATTCATATTATTTTTACTGAGATAATTATTAAAACAATTAAACTAACTACATGAACACTATTTAATCTTTAAGAAAAAGTGCAAAGGGTGAATTTAATAAACACAATATAATGCAATTTGTGTATTATTAAATATCTGTTAAATAGTACCTTTGTTGGAATACTTTGAAGTAGAATAAAAAGCACAGATTGGTCTATTAAGAGGATAAGCAACAGAACCACTAGTAAGTATAGGAGCAGCTGGCTTTGCAACATTTAAACTAGCACCATAGGGAAATACAAAACTTATACATCTGAAAATTGTTATCAATTATTACGATAAATAGCCTAGGAAAAAATTAAAGATAAAAGAAGAAAATTTTTTAGTTAATTTAATTTTAATTAATTAGTTAATAAATTTAAAAGGTTACAAACAATAAAATTGCTAAGTCATCTTTGACCAATAAGTAAATAAAATATGAATAAACTTTGGACTGGTTAATTAAATTCAAAATTTTTAAATACTTTATATTCAACTTGAATAATTCGAGAAATTTCATTTAGAATTTATGAAGTTATGTTGGGTTTAATATGGATAGTTATAAAAATATACTACAAGAAAGTTTATCACAATGAACCCACTAGAGAACACAATATCTAAAGACCAGAATTTAGGATTAAAAATAGTTTATTTTTACCATTGAACTATATGACAACTAAAATACTGATCATTCAATGTTACCTGAGCAAGTATATTAAAAAGAGATAATGAATAAATTAAGAGTGTCTATTTTTATTTAATATAAGTGACAATGTATAATTTCAATTTATATTGATATGAGCCAAGTTATACAAGTAATAACTAATTATATTTATTATTTTTTCAGTTTCATAGTTAATTCATCATTCAATTACAAGATATTTATTTATAATATAAATATTAAATATATATATAATAAATATTTTGGTTAATTAGTAAGTAAATCTTATAAGTGTTTAGAAATTCAACTATCAGCTTAATTTAAATCAGTTAATATTTTTTAAAGCAATACAAAATAATAATCTAAATCTGTTACTTCTTTGTTTATTTTATTTAAAAATAATAAAAATGAAGTATATAGAAACAGTATGCAATAAGATACCTAACCTAAAATATAAAATAACTATGTTATATTTACTTTTCCATTCAATATTTCTTAGTTAAGAAAAAAATAATAAATGTAATGATTAACATAAGAAAAAATCTCGGGGAGAAAAATATTTTTCAATTAAATTTTGTACCTATTTATTACTAGCAATAATTCTCTAAAAATTAAAGGGAATATTTCACAAATAATAACAAATACTTTTGTAAACATTATCTAAAAAAGAACTATTAACTATTAAAAAAAAATAAAACTAAAAATATAATTACTTCTTTTTCATATAATATTTGATAAAAAAAGATACCTATGTCATTATTTCTGATATATTCCTCTTCTCATACTTGATCACATATTATACTTTTTGTAAAAATACAAATAAAACAAACCCATAGAAATTAAAGCATCAGAATTTCTTACGGGTGCAACAGCTTATTGTTTATTAATTTTCAATCATTTATTAGAATATATACCTTTTACTAGAGAAATAGGAAAACTTTTGTTCTAATTTAAAGCAGATATTAATGGTTTTTTATTTGATCAAACCTTGTTTTTTTATATCTTAAAACAATTATTTAAAAATAATTTTTGAAATAAGGTTTGCGAAGATATTGTTACTTTAGAATTATTATAATTTTGTTACACGGAAAAAATTGATAGTGTTATGGGAGATATACTCGTTTTAACTTTTAAAATATTTCTGATGAAAAATGCTGTGAACATACTAAAATATACTACTAACACATTAACACAAGATCATTTATTATTATCGTTCGGACGAATATATGGCTAAAATCGATTGTTATAGATAAAAATGTACATCGTATTATGCTGGTAAGCATAAAAATGTAAATATGATATGGTGTATTATTAATAAAGACAATGATATAAATCCTTAAGTATTCTAACACACTAACTCAGTTTTATTTACATTAATCATATTGGAAAGAGAAGGTTCCAGTTATCATATAGTTGAATTATCTTCACTAGAAGATTAGCCTGGGACCCTCCTGTTAAAATACATCAGCTCTGTTATTTATAATATGCAAAACCGAGTTGTTTTATTTTGCAGTTCACAGTTTACACATAAAATAGATTTAATTAAATTTAATCTATTCTTTGATATTAATAATAAATCTTTAATATGATTATCTTACAAAATTGTATTGTATAAAATTATTATTAAACTTGATTCAATTATCTATAGTGTTAATATGAAATATGAATAAAGAAAATACCTAATTAGAAATTAACATTATTTTTTTATGTTGGTACAGTAAAAGATTATCCATAAAGAATCATCCAAAATAAGAATGGTAAAATTTTTATTTCATTAAATATTAATATATACACACACAAATAAATTTTTAGCTTACTTTGATGTGCTTTCATTTTCTCGATCCAAATATTTAGCCACTGCTTCATTAACAACACCATCCTTAACCAGACATTCTTTAGGATGGAAATATAAATAATAGTGTGTGCGTAATACATAGTCTAAAAAATAAATAAAGTAATTATTCATAGTAAGAATGTAAGACGCTAAGATATAAGATTAATTATTTAAAAAACATAATAAATTTGATTGAAGTATTAAAAGTTAATTTTCACATAATTTGAAAAGTTATTGAAATGATCAATTTTTATAGCTAAGGCTTGAAAATTTAAGATTCCGTGAAAGTAGTTCTTATTGATGCCTTAAAATTTAAAAAAATAAATTATAGCATCTTATTTATAAAGACATTTTTTCTTCAAATTCTGATATTTAACTTAAAAATAACAATTTTAGTTATTTTATTATAGGTAATTGAAAAATATTAGAGGACCTGACATTTTAACAGATATATTATCACATTTATCTATTTATGGTGGCAATTTCAAAATTATTTAATTAACTTTAAGCTTTTATCTATTTGTATTTTAAAATGTATTACTAATAATAAAATAAATTACTATAATAGTAATATAAACACTGTAAATGATAAATATAATAAATAATATAAGTTGATAGAGCAAACTATCAGAATCGTTTAGGCATGCAATAATTTATCACTAAATTTAAACTTAACACATATATTACAGTAACCTTCTCAATGACAATTTAACTCTTACTATAATAGAGTGATAACTTATTTTCCTTAAAACTAAAAATAAACTTACCACTATTAACCATTATACCAAATTCTTCTAATAAATAATTTATATTGGTATGAAGTTCTTTTTCACCGCCTTCAGAAAACATAACTAATACAGATCCTCCAAGATCAATATATTTATGAAGACAATTAAATTCTGCTTCAGAAAACATAGCACGAGGACCTCCAAATACAACTAACTGTACACCATTTAAGACATCCACTGTGATCTCATGTTTATTTCTACAAATTGTTTTCAAAATATATAGAATTAGGTGCACAACATAAGTATTTAATATTCCAGTGACTTACATAGCAATCGTATAAGATCCTTGAAGTTTCCTTCTTAAAATTTTCAAATTATCATTGATATCAAACATTTCATTTTTAGCCATATCGAATAGTATAATATTATTATTACTTTCTGCCATATTCATAATTTATGTGAATATTCCCAAATAAAAATGTAATAATTATTTAATACATAACTATTTTGTTACACAAATTTGATATTAAATGAAAATTCGGTACCTAATAATTAATTTGATAAGAATAATGACGATTAGTGAGTAATCAACTATCCGTTGACAACAGAGTGCGGTGGTGCGGGTGACTCGAAATTCCAATGAAAGTACTGTAAAAAAAAAAAACTAAAAAGGTTTAGGTATACTTATCGTTGCTGTGGAAGAAAAATGCTTCTACAAACGATTTAGTATTTAGTATTTTTTTTTTTGTAGTAAATACTAAATCGTTCAACTTGGAATAAACAACAAATCACAGTACCATTTATCATTGGTCGCTAAATAATTATATTTAATTAAACCTATTATAAAATATAAATTTTATTTTTTGTTGTATAATATAAAATTGACAATATAGTATCCGTCGTCCGTTATACACTATACAGCGCAAAATTAGAAAACGCAATAAAACTTAGGAATACATTTTTTTCTAAGATTAATTTGTTTATTGTAATTTATTATATTCTGTAACATATCCTATTCAATTGTAAAAAAAAACCACATAGGTTAAAAAATCATATAAAACCATAAAGGTTAGGTAGATATGTATAATTTTGTTATAATGTACATACAACATGTAATTTTAAACAAAACTTTACAAACTTGAGAATATTACCAAGTACCAACTAGTACTTAATTGTAACCAGATATCATACTGAAAAAATCTACTCCATCTAAAGATGATGTCAAACATAAAATACCTATACACATTATTGTAAGACCAACAAAATCATAAATTCAAAAATTTAAACAAGAAAAAGTGAACTTATTAGTTGAAACTTTTACCAAACTCTCAACTATGGTAAAAATAGATACTCTATTTATTTAACCACTTTGATATTTCATCCTCGGCAAACATTATACACGTATATGAACGCGAGTTCATACTCAAATTCCATTTAAAAAAGTATCTGCTTAAAGTTTTTTTCAATTTTCCAAATAACTTTTAAATTTTTTTTTCAGTAAAATCCTTATTCATTTTATTCTATCTATTACGATTTACGAACATCAAAAGAAATGAGCCCAATAAAATTGGTCTATCCGTTTTCAAATTATGTGCTTACTTTACTAATGAACAGCATTTTATTTATGAAGTATAGATTTCAAACTTTTTCTACATTTATCAATTTTCATAAAATACCTATAAATAATAATAATATGTATAAATCATAATACATCGCATTAGATTAATTAAAAAAAAAAATATATATATATATACTTATTATGTTTCTAATTTTTATTTCTAAAATGTATGATCAATGAAAAAAAGTAAGCCTCCCATAAAAATTATCTGTATTCATCTGCACTGGTAATCGCCATGGTGGTTAAAATTTGTGAACTTTTTCGGATAAGTACTACTCTTATCGTGTATACGAACAAAAAATCACATCATTGTAAAATCAATATATTTATTAGTCATTACTCCATTCAGATTCTAAATAATTAAATTTATTTGCACACTTATCTGTGTTGCATTATTACCTATTATACATTTTTTACTTAATGAATCGTTTATAAAAACTTCTATTTTAGACACCAGGAAGATAATCTAGTAAATAGCAACTAAATCGCAATACCTACGGGCTACGTTTAGTACGTTTAATAGGCCATAGGTACATAAATAAATAATATTTCATACCTATTAGATTTTGTGTTATATTTTAACTGGTTAGGTACATTTAAAATTTTCTCGAAGCCGATCCCACTGGCGAATGTGTAATCTCTACAGTACAATAATTATTATCAAAATATTGTTATGATGTCAATTTCGCGGGTTATTTAATATTTTAGTATGTTGTATTGATAAGAATATACACTATATAATATATATATTATTATAATTATTTCAGTAATTCACCTAAGAAGTAAGAAGTCTATTCTTTAATTTTAGTTTATAGTGAACACGTAAGTTTAACGTATTCATTTATTATTTTTACCTTTTTTTAAGACTCTCTTCAATTTTTTCAGGTTTTTACTTGTACAAGCTTATAAAACTACTATCATGCTATAAACATATTTAATAGGTAATTGAACGAAACTAATATTATTACTTTTCAAATAAGGCATCATGAACATTTTGAAAGATAGCAGAGTAAAAGAATATATATCATCATTAGACGGATTGAGCCCTGTTCAGTATGTACCCACAGTCTGCCAGTGCATCAAAGAAAATTTTCCGGAAAACGCCCATTCTGATATTGCATATCCTTTCAGTAATAACTTAGCCGAATTAGCTGCCAACCAGGGACCAAAAAACATAAGATTGATTGTAATGTACATAACAAAGACGTCTTTTTTCAATGGAGACACAATGAAGTTTTTAGTCAATGAAATGTTAGAATGCAAAGAAGATGCAACAGTCGAACAATATTATAATGTTCTTGATCAAAATTTTAAGATGCATCCGCCATGCGCTCAATATATGGATACAGAGTATGAACAATTAATACTTGGCCCATATAGGAAATGTTTTGGAGAAATGACTTTGTGGGATTATATTATAGAGCGTTTGAATCAGATCACTAGTGGATCTCTTTTATATGGTGATAATAAGGCATTTGATTTGGCATTCAAAAGATGTTTTAGTTTTTGCGTATGCATTTTACAAATGGACTTTGAAGTATCCAAAAAAAGAAATATTAGATCTTTAATTGCAAAATGTTTAAAGTATAATTCTGAAAGAAAAACACGAATGAGTGAAATCACTAAACTTTTAGATATGTTATTTAACACTGGGTATGATTTTCAAATGCCAGTTATCAATCTCGCAATACTTGTAAATCAGTTAAAATGAATTAAAAAAGAATTTTTTTTATTTTACATTTATTGTTTTTATTTATATTGATAAGACTTTATTTATATAAATTAGTAAAACAAATTTTCATTCATCGCAAACAATGAAGAAATTAAATTGCGATTTGGATTATTAAAGTTTAAAATTCAATGTAATATGTAATAAATACCCTGATTAAAAATAAATTATACATTTGCACAATTTTAAATATTGATATATTTTTTTTTTACTTGTATTATAATGTATAGAAATTAGTATAGTTTACTTTAGCATGCAACAAAATATGTGACCATGCAATAAATGCAATACATTTTATTAGACTCGGATGAACTTCTTTAAATTTTTTTCTTCTTGATATGGTTATTATATTATTAATATTTGAATAATCATTTATCGTCATTTATCAATGAATACTATTTTTCTTCTAACTCAATATAGTAACAATTTATTATAATGACAAAGTGGTTCAATACTACAATATGAGATTAGAAGTAGTATACATCATCTATCATATCGCAGGATTTTAATTTTAAATTATACCTAGTAAATATGTTAATAACAAGTATTTAAGATTCTACAAGTTTGAAAGTGATTTGATAATTTATTTTTTTAAAGTTATAGTAAGTCATTCTTGTAAAAAATTTTTGTTAATTCTTCTTATTGAAGAAATACTTAACAAATTATAAAACAAATAGGAGTGATTAAATATTTGATATTTAACAATAATGTCACACATCTTTTACAATAAATAAATACTAAATAATGCTATAAACGGAGATATGTGATTTTGCACTTGAGAAAATTTAAAATACAGTAATTCTTCTTTGCACTGATAATGTATTAGTTATTATTTAATAATTTAGTACACATTTAATAATAATAAAAAAAAAAAAACTGTCAAATACTAATTAAAGAATTTTTACTGGTAAAGAAAATCAATAATACTATCAGTAAGAAAGTGGCTATTTGTAGAAATCAAACTGTTGTAATGTAATCACACAAACATGATAATTAATTCAAATTCAAAAATTATACCAGTAACATATTTATAAAAATATTTGAAAATATTAGTAAAATATACAGTATAGTTATATACATAATACTCTATTTGTTATACATTTTGAATGTTTAGTTATGTGCAACAAAAAATATATATACAAATTATTTCATTTTAAATAAACTTAAATTAGCCAGTAACACGTTAAAATAATGAACACAAAATTAATTAAATTAATTACTGGCTTTCATGACTTATTAAAAAATAGTTAATATATATATATTTTAAATCAATCACCAAAATAACATTAAAAAACAATATTTAATATAACAATAGTTTTAGTTACATTAAAAAAAAAAAAAAAGAAACATATATTATTATTTGTCTTCATGACAGATTTTATAAAAAGAAAAAAGTGTTTGTCTAATATAACTTACACACTTATAAGTACTGAAAATAATAACTACATAAGTTTAAAATATCACAAAGAACATATCAAAAAAAATATATTTTAAGACATTAAGTGTAAACAAAAATTATATATTTTATTTTTATAACACAATCATAATAATATAAAAAATGTAATGATCAACAAATTAATCAGTTTTTGTCTTTAATTCTTCAGAAGGCAATTCAAGTACTTCAACATCTTCATCAAATCTACTTTGATCCACAGGATACAACCTAATATCATAATTGATGATTAAATAAAGATTATATTGATTTTAATTTTATAATGATATTGTTTACCATCTTTGATAGATATAAATGAGAAAAACTATATCATCCCTGAAACAGGCTAATCGGTGGGCAGTTGGCATTGGAATAATAAATGCAAACAAGTCATCAATGAAAGTGTTAAATGCCTGTATAACACAATAATTCAAAATAAATTGTGTATTTTTAAAATGCTTAAAAATTTACCTTATACATAAATGTTTTCCATGGAAGATTGGCTACTGATTTAAGTCTATAGTTGATAAAAAGTTGAGGTAACATGAAAAGAAAACCAAATGCATAAACTCCATTCACAAGACTTTTAATACTCCAAGAATACCAGCTAAATATATTTTTAGATTAATAAATTTTAAGTATCATATACAAATCAAATGTGTTATAAATCAAACCTTTTTTGTGGTTCATAAATAAGTGAATAAATAGCAGCACCAGCACATAATGGATATAAAACGTATGAAAGATATTTCATGGATTCAGCATCAAACTTTTTAGTATCTTCTTCAGCACGATTTAGAGTTAATTGTTTTAATTTTAGATTTTTCCAATCTATTGGTATTATTTTAAATACTTTCCAAATCTAATATTATATTAAAAAAAAATATTAAATGTATTTTACTAAAATGAACAAATCCTCTTAGTCTTTAAATTTCCCATTCCTTTTAAACCTATTATCCTTTGTACATAAAGTTAAATAATTCAAAAACTACGAGTACTTTTCAAATTTTGATTCTGATACATCAAAATTTTTGGAAAAAGTATCCACTAGATTACTAGAATAATTTACAGTAGAAAAAGGGATTCTCATTTGAAAAAAATAAGTTTGTATCTTTGCAGAGCACTTAGTACTTTGTATTTAAAAATTCAAAAAATATATTTATCATTGGATGATGAAATAAAAAATGTAAAACTTAAATAATTAAAAAAAAAATGTAGTTTTGTAACTATTTAAAGTTATGTAATTTTTTTTTTTTAACGTAATAGTTAATAGTTATTAAATTACAAGTGTTTTATATTTAGTGAATTACCTGGTATTTAAATTATGTAACTATTTTATAGATTGAAATGTCTTATTATTTTTACCTCTATTATAGAACTGATTATACTTGGTACAATGATCAACATTGAAGCTTTTTCCTCGATTAAATAAAGCAATACAACTGTTTGACTAAAAGCACGCCATACAACGAGACGCGATGATAATCCAGCCATAGATTTTCTTGATCGCCAGAATGATATGTCATTTTTAAAAGCTAGGAAATCAAATAATATCTGTGAACAAATAAATTAATACATTTTGATTTCATAAAAAACAATAAAAAAAAATTATAATTTTTATCTCACGTGAATAAATGCAACAATAATTGAAATTAATAACAAATAATGATTTGTATCAAAAATAGCTTTAATTTCATCAATATCTTTATTTTTGAATCCAAATTGTTGTAATGTTACCATAGCTAATTGAGTTTGTGTTAATATTCTAAAAAAATAAATAAATAAAATATAGATTTGGCAATTTTGAGACGAAATATTAATCAAAGTTACTATATAATAATAATGTTGTAAATACATAATATATGGAAAATTAATTATGTATGGCAGAAGGTCCAACCCGTGGTCTTCGAAGCCTTTTTTTTGTCCCCCCCACCCTAAAAAGACATTAAAAATAAAATCACAATAACATAATAATGAAATCATAATATGACGAATATAAGTGTGTTCTTTGTGTTTTATGGTTTTCAGATCAACCATCACAGGGTGCTCAATTGATATTGAAAAATTGGCATTTGAGAAATAATGCCAATTATCATATTAATTTTTTTTACATATAAATACTAAATTCTTAATATAAGTAATCTAATCATCATAATCTGTGGTGTAATAATTTGTGCATTATATAACATGTAAAATATATTTGTAATAAAATAATAATAAAATAAAATGTAAATAATATTATTTTTCTTTTGGTGTCTCCTGGTGTTTTTATGAAAGTGTAAATTGGCCCGCCAACTGCAAAAGGTCAAATCACTTTGATAAAAGGAAATTAGAGATGTTTCGAGAATGCAACACGGTTCTGAAAATTTGAAAAATCGTACTCCACCCTTTCAGGGTACTCGGCAATTAGTTGATATTATATTTAAGATTCGACCCTTACCCGGTATCCAGCTTAACACTAAGTTTTTATTCAACTCATATCTGGACTAATCGGCAAACACTGATAATCTTTTTATAAATATATATGTACCATTTATACACCGTTAATATAACCATGATGGGAAGAATCTAAGGTGATAAATTATAATTAATTTTGGTACATTTTAAAACAATTGAACAAATTAATTGTAACCAAATGTATTTTTCTTACTAGGATTACAAAAATAAATCTCGCGTTTATACGAGAACAAATGGCAAACAAAACGCATTATATACTATTTCATAACAAATTGTTAGTCGTAAGTTATTAAAATGTATTTTAAAAGACGAAAATATACAATCTAAAATAAGCATAAATTATGATGAAAGGAATACATATGTGTATTTGATTTTGTACATGAAAGATTTTATTTAAAAAAAACTACTAAACAGTAACATTAATTGTCGTGAATGATATTATGTCTTAAACTTATTTAATTAATTATTTATTTATTTTTATATTATTAATAGGGCTCTATACATCAGTTTCTCATTAGCCTTCTAGACGGATTTCCTGAAATTTTGACATAGTTAAGGACATGGATTAGAAGCTTCGAATGGTTAGCCAGGATGTAATGAAATAGCTTGTAAGACGACATTGCTGTGTACCTCTGAGACTGTCTGAATATTTAAATGCGAGTGGAGTGTGTGGTTTGATACGTAGAAAGACGCGTTTGTAATCATACGTAATATTATTGATTGAAAGGTATGTATTTAGTTTGTATTTGTTTTCTTAATAGTACCTTTTAATCAGATCCCATAAGACCGCACTGGTTTTAATAAAGTTTTATATAGCAGAAGTTTGTTTTTAAAGCTTATTTTGGAATGTTTTTCATGAAGGGTGTAAAAAGATTTACATCTAATGTTTAATAGAATCCGTTTTTGTTTGATATAATGATATGCTTAAGTAATACAGAACTTGTTTTGTAATCTCTGAGTAGTAAGTGACGTGTGTAACTGTAAACACTAAACACACGACCAAACAAATAATACGTGTATAATTTGTAATAATGGAAACAACTTGTTGTTATAACCTGTGATACCTTATCGATATATTGTGCATTTTCGAGTTTTCGACAGCTGTGTGAAATGTGGATATTGGCTAATGGTAATTTCTACCTGTGTCCTGTGAATTGTGATTGATATCGGTAAATTGTAAGACATTTTATTGAAATGTACAGTGTAGTGTGTACACAAATACTTATGAAATTTATAGAGGAGAATTTATAATAATACTATTTTAAACTTATTGAATCAAAATTAAAATTCTTTATAAAAAGATGAGTTTTTTTAAAAGCTTGACATTTTTACACCGATAACTCGGTAAAAACAATTTTAATCCAAACTAATCTTGGGACTTTATTTAAGAGATATATTCAGGAAATTTGCATTAGGATTGTATGAATAAAAAATTAAAATAATATATTTTATTTTTTTTAAATATGTCTTAATTTTATCTATCTATTTTATATTTGGCGCACTATTATTCATTTATATTTTTTAATAAATTTGTTTCCTATTAATATTGGTAGTACGAGAACCTACTATCTTCATTAGATAGAATTATAAAAATACAAATCAAATTAACAACAGTTGTTATTTTCATTTAGAATTATAGATTTATATATTAGAACAGTGGTTCTCAACCGGGGGTCCGCGAGTAGGTATTAGGGGGTCCCCGGGAAAAAAAAAGCGTAATGGCGGAAAAGGTAAATTCATATCTATCTTATGTAACAATATATAACAAATTGGCATTTGGGGGTCCGTAAAGTAGTAGTGAGTGCTCAAGGGGTGCGTGAATGGAAAAAGGTTGAGAACCGCTGTACTAGAACGATTGTTAGATAAAAAAATTGTCATTTTAGTATATAATATATTATCTAATGTCAAATTGACTACTCTCTTTTAATGTAAATGATTGATAATTAATAGAATTATTTATATATTTATTAAAGCCTTTTAAGAAACTCACAAAATTTAAATGTTCAAATAAATCTATTATTAAGTTATATCCTAGTAATAATGATTTTGGATACATTTTTGAATCAATCTAACATTACATTTTGAAGTTGGGACTACTAAGGATTACTACCTATCTTCTAAAACGTTTGAAAATGTTATCAAATATGAGAACTTTATTATAGCCACATTTTTTAGACTAAAGGTTTAAACTGTAAAATAAACAATCAAGAAAATAATATTTTATAATATATCTCCTGTAGAAAATTTGAATGCTGGAAAAAGAAAATTATTTTGGGATTTTTATAGAGAACTTGCAACAACACTAAATATTAAACTAAAGTATCTTGTTTTTTTATCTACACAGATTGGAATGACTACCATAGTTTTAATAAAGATCTAGTTGTTGAATTTGAAAAATATTTAATATAAAATGTATTTCCATTGAGTTGAGGAAAATATATTTCGAAAGACTTATTTATTGGAAATACATTACCTCAACAAAAATATTTGTCAGTGATAGAATCCAGTATTTACTTTAAGAGGACATTTTTTAGAGGCAGGATTAATGTATGAAGCTAAAAGACGTAGACTTCCTTCAGCTTTAGTATATTAAACAAATTTTGTTCATTTATATTACTATAAATAAATTTAAATTATTTTTTACTGTTTAATATTATTAATTACTGGTGGGGTATTATAATGTAGTTTGTTTCATTAGTGATTTGTTAATTTGTTTTATTTTTTATGTTTCAAAGAGATTTTACTTAATATTTTAAATAGTGAATTTAAAAAAAATATTGTATGGTATTTACTATTTAATACTTATTTTAGTATTTACATTTCATTATTTTAGTTACAACATTCAATATTATCATCTAAATTAGGAATGGCGTGGAAAAATATGTTTAGCATGTGGATAATACATATTGAGTGACAGCTGGTGGTCATATGGCAGTTAATGTGTTGAAGACTAATTATTATTTTCTTTATATGTAATAAGTAATTGGTACCCATTTTATATTTACGTTTTTACTTGGTTAATACTTAACAATTGATAAGTATTAAAAATTTTACTTGGCCAGTACTCAGTAACCAATTAATAACAAATTATTTATCCAGAACACATCTATAATAAGGATGATCTATATTATTTATAAATGCATGTTAAAAATTTTAATTAATTCATTCCAATAAATCGATTACTTTTGAGTATAAAACCAAAATATCAATAAAGGGGAAATAGTGTAAACAATTATATTACCTTAGCCCAGTGTAACTTAAAGGTTCATAGCGCAACAAAATAGGTACATGTGTAATGTTTTTGTTGATTTTTGTAACATTGAAGGATCTATCTTGAAGAGAATTATGTAGGAATATAGGTAAATACTCTTGTTTTTTTCCATATAACCTGAAATAATTATTATAAACATAAATATTTTAATTATATAACTAAGAATTTTCTGACTCTCCTTTAATTTTATTATTTTAAAATATAATTCTATTAAATTTCATATAAGTTTTACCTTATATATTGATAAATATCACTAGGTATATGAATTTGAGATATATGTAATGGTTCTGTTAACATGCTAACTGGTAATACAGCCTTAATATGTGTCACTGGTTTTTCAACATTCTTTTTTACATTTTCCTCATCTTGTAATAATTGAAAAATTTTATATTGAGGTTCTTTATAAATAGACATTGGTACTAAGGTGTATACAGTTTCAGGGTCGGTTAATAATTTGGTCCATTTATCGCCAGAATAAATTCTTGAACTCGGTTCTTGTACTTTACTTAAGAATACATGTGCATACAATGTTCCATTTTGTTTGGTTAGTCTTGGTAATTCTACAGACATTAATCTGCAATAAAAACAATAAAGTTATTCAAAGATATTTAAAAAATGAGTAGTATATATTATCACACTTACCTTTCATAAGAAACATTATAATTTGGTAACAGGAAGTTGTTTACAAATATAACTTCCGATCCTCGAGGGTTTGAATGTGGTGCAACAAATATTGTGAGCTAGGATATTATTACGATAAGAATAATAAAATGAAATAATAAATATTTATATGAAAAAACTTACTTCTAAGTTAGGTTTTCGTAACAAAAATGATTTCAAACATAGACCTTCACTAGTACATGATGGTGGTTGTACCATTACCCATATCGAGTAAAAGAGATTACCCAAGTATGATAGGAATAAAACAGACACAATTGTAGTAAACGAGGGTAATTTCATGGTGATTACTAATAAACAAAATTCAAGTGATATTATAGATTAAAATTTTTTTATATGGAACTACATTTACATTTATAATTACTTAGATTAATTTTAACACATTTTTTTAAAATAATTTTTTAACCACAAGGCATGATTTGACTTATATATTATAAATTATACAGATACATATGTACACTTATTTAAATATATTACAAATTTACTAGTATATACTGATCATTACTAATTAATTTATCAAACAATAAACCATAATAAAATAATTGGATTTGAATAAAATGAAAAATATATTATTAATGATTAAAATTAAAAAAATTAATTATTAAGATGTACATAGATATCTTTTAAATTTAATTAAAATATTTTACTGTTAGGTTTTAAATTGTTAAAAATGTGTCTATAACAATTACATTTAATTTAATTAGGTAGGTACCTACTTAAGGCATTATTATATATATTATTTTAATCAGGATGAATAAAAAGTAAAATTAACTTACAAACAAAATTTGGTTTTATTTCTAATACTTCATTGGTAGATGTACCTATTTAAATTTATTTAGATGTTCTAAGTACACAAATAAATAAAAATTAAATTTATAGAACGAATTCGAATGTATCAGATTTTATTTTATATTGATTCATAACGTATGAAGATTTTAATTTTTTTCGTAAATCGTGGAAACGCAAATCGCAATTGGATATTTGGCAATTTTTTTAAAAAGACAGATCATATATTATTATAATATCATGCACTATGTAGTAGACAGTATGTAGTGTATGCATGAACACAACACATATTTATTATCATTATTTCTTGTGTTATCAAATGGAAGTACCGGTAGGTACCGATATCGGTCATGGTTACAGAATATAGGTATTGATATCACGGACTAAGATAATACAGATTTGTATCTATTACTGCGATTAAAAAGTAAATGTTTTTAACACAGATATATAAAAATATAATTTTTATATATCTGTGGTTTTTAATGTTTTTAATTTTTATCAATTTATTTCTTAATGGTTGATTGATCAGTGATCTCAACTCAATACCATAATAAAGTAAGTTTATTTCGTCATGATCAATTATAAAACTAGTAATTGATTAATTGAGAATTAGAATAACAGTTATATCATTTATATTTCTGACAATATTTCAGTATCTTTGACAAAATACATTAATAATTCTATAGTCAGCATATTTGATTTTAAATAATTTTGTTTTTAAAACTAACATGGCGAGTTCATTAGAGGAGACAATAACACGAGTTCCGAAGATGGCTGTTTTTGATTTAGGTATACTGCTTAATAATTTTTTACATTACCTTTAAAATATTTGTATTGTAAGAAAAATTTTAAAATGCTAATATTTACTTCATTTGAATATCCATACTACACATTAATGATAATAAAATACAAAAATATCTAATTTAAAGATTTACCTATGAAAATATACTTTAAAAAAAGGTGTGCATTTTCTTTTAATTAACAAAGAATAGATAGTAATTCAGGAATTGTTATTCTTCTAAACAATTAAATAATTACTTTAAACTTGTACAGATTCTAAAAATAATATATTTTTTTTCTATAGATTATACATTGTGGCCATTTTGGATTGACACTCATGTGAATCCTCCTTTTCATAAATCTGGGTAAGTTTATAGTTTTATGAACAGCTATAAATATTATTATTGGTTTTTTTTTAGCCCTAAAATTGTATTAGATTTTACTGGTCGTAAAATTAAACATTATCCAGATGTGCCACAAATCTTGAAATTTCTTCAGGACAAAAATATTGGCATAAGTGTAGCTTCAAGAACTGGAGAAATTGATGGGGCTGAACAACTCATACAATTATTTGGTTGGGATAAATATTTTCAAAACAAACAAATTTATCCTGGTAGCAAAGTTACTCATATAAATAAGTGAGTACTGAGTAACAAATAATATATTTTATTTTATTTATATTATTACTAATGTTCAGTTTTATTAATTAGGATAAGCAAAAAATGTAATATCAAATTGGAGGATATGATTTTTTTTGATGATGAACAACGGAACATTGATGATTTAGAGCGTTTAGGAGTAGTATCAATATTAGTAAAAAATGGGATGACAATGGAAGTATTAATGAATGGTTTGAAAAAGTTTTCAGATATAAGATCAAATGTGTAATTTTTGTGTTATTGTTTTAAGTATTATGACCACAAATAATTATACTTCATAAAACAAGTGCTTCTGTTATCATTATTTTTTTTTTAATGATGAACTACTGTTACTCAATTAAAAAAAAATCAAAATCTATAGTCACAATATTTTTTTTATAAATGTAATTCATAAAATTGGTGACACACTTAGGCCCCGAGTGGTAGGATACCGGCCTACTTTTCTCAGTAAGCAGGCAGCCTATAAATACAATATAAAAAAGACCTTTTTTTTTGCTCATTTATTGTTTAAAAAAACTTCTTCGACTATAGAGATAGATAAGAACTGAACTTACAAATAAAGTGAGGTACAGTAGAACCTCGGTGATCCGGCCGTTCGATAATCCGATACGTCCAGTAATCCGGCAGTATTAACCTATATGTACCAATATGCATTTATATAAAATATTTACTATCGTATACGATAAACTGTTAAATAAAATTAAGTAATAACAGATTAAATCTTAATAAACAAAAAGAAAACTGCTCTAAATCTAAAATATTTTAAAATCATTTTTTAATACGAGTAAAATTGTAAAATTCAATAAGTAAAAATGCGTTTTTTTTGTGAACTCCCCACTAATCCGGCGTTTTCGTTAATCCGGCAGTAGCGTTGTCTGATATGTGTTGGATTACCGAGATTCTACTGTATATAAAATAGATACGGTGTATGTTTTCAGTAAGTACAAATATACTAGACGTATACTAGCTGTATACACTGTTTAAAATAAACGAAAACATCTACAAACCAACGCTTATTATTATAGGGCTCGGAAGTTGATGACCTTAAAAACAATAAAAAATGGCAAAAAATGACCTAAAAAAATTACAAATATTAATAAAAATACATTTTTTTTAAATATTTTACTCTATTTTACTATAAAATTCAAAATATGACATAAAAATGACAAAAATGTTCTTAAAATAGGAAAATTAAAAAATTAAAAATATTTGTTTTATAAATGTCTGTGGTTTAGTTATTGGCATAATGGTCAACAAGAAACGATAAGAAATGAACTAGTGTCAAATCAGTAAAAATAACTAAAAATGTGAGAAAATGACCTAAAAATCTCAAAAAATGACTTAAAAAGTAATAAACACCAAAAAATGCAAAATCAAAATTAGTTATTTAGATTCACATGCTTTGAAACAGATTTGTGGCCAGGAGAGCATCGTCTAAAAAGTTCCAAAAAAAAATACAAAATGTATTAACTTCCGAGCCCTACTTATTAATTAGAATTACGATAATAATTAAATTTATTTTATATCAATAGTTGATAATCTATTTTTATTCTTTAACACTGGAGAATCTGGACCTAACCTAACTGGAATCTGAAAATAATTGACAAATTGATACTAAGTAATTAGGTACTTGTGTATATATGATTCATAAATATAATTTTTTTTTTTTTTTTTTTTTTTAAAAATGTCGTTTATTTTGTGAAAATTTACAATCTATACAAAAGGTACAATAAGTAAATGTGATAATACTTAAAAGTGGCGATGAGGGAAGTACAATGAGTAGAAGTTTCACATTAGAAATTTCTACGTGGAAGGTAATTTAGGGAGAGATAGTAATATACATGGTTAAGTTTAATGTGCGTTGAGAAGATCTCTGGGCCATTCCCGTTTGAGGCGTCTGACTTGGTTGTCTGGAAGAGCATTTGTATGAAGTTGAGCGATGAGGGGGTTTGAATGATGTTCCATATTGGAGTGCAGGCGAAGATAATATTTGATAGCTGTGTGTTTGATGGTGGGGATTTGAAGGTCATTTTGAAGAGCAACATTTGTGACGTACCAAGGGGCTTTAGCAATCATGCGGAGGCAGATGGCTTGGAATGCTTGTATGGTTCTAGTGTTCGATGGTTTAGCGGAACCCCAGAGAGCGATTCCGTAAGACCAGATAGGTTGCAGAAGGGATTTGTAGAGCAGAAGACGGTTGGAGATGTGGATATTAGATTTCAAGAGAGGCCTGAGGATGTGAAGGCGGCTATTTAGTTGTTTGCGTTTGGTTTTGAGGTGGGGGCCCCAGGTGAGCCTTCTGTCAAACAGTAAGCCGAGATATTTGACTTCATTAGAGTGAGGAATAATTGTATTCTCGAATGTTATATGAGGACAGTCCCCGGATCGGAGGGAGAAAGTGACATGAGAAGACTTGGAGTCGTTGATCTTGATTTTCCAAGATTTGAACCAGTGAGCTAAGCTGTTCAGATGATTTTGAAGTAGGCTGCTTGCTTCTTGCGGGTCTTGACTAGATGAAAGGATTGCGGTGTCGTCGGCATATGTCCCTATTAGGGTGTTGTCCGTTGTAGGAATGTCAGCTGTGAACAGAGTGTATAGGAAAGGAGCGATGTCGCTTCCCTGAGGGACACCGGCTAGAATATTTTGTGTGCTGGAGAGTGTGGTTTTTAATTTGACTCTGAATGTTCTGTTATTTAGGTATGATTTTAGAAGTAAATAATAGGGTGCCGGGAAGATTTTTTTAAGTTTGTATAATAAACCATCGTGCCAGACGGAGTCGAAGGCTTGAGCTACGTCGAGAAAAAGTCCTGAGCAGTATTTTTTTGATTCTAGAGATGTAGCAATATGGTCCACTACACGGTGGAGCTGGTGAAAGGTTGCATGTTTGGCACGAAAACCGAATTGGAAGCTGGGAAGGGCATTTTGTTTGAGTGCGATATTCACAAGTCTTTTGAGTAGAAGTTTTTCAAAAATTTTCCCAAACGTGGGTAGTAAGCTGATTGGTCTATAAGATTTAGGCAAATCAGGTTGTTTGCCTGGTTTAAGTATAGTGATAATTAGTGCTGATTTCCAAGAGGTAGGGAAATAAGAAAGTCGAAATATGGCATTAAAGATGTAGGTGAGAAGAATGATGGTTTTTGGTGGTAAGTTTTTGACTATTTTGTTGCTGATGAGATCATGGCCGGGTGACTTATTATTCCTGAGTTTTTTAACAATTGATAGAACTTCGCCAGGAGTAGTTGGGGAGGCTGGAAGTGCCATGGGCAGAGGCGATGAGATGAATTGATCAACTTGAAGCATGTGAGTATCATCAGGGGAAATGTTGTGAGGCTTAAATGTATTTGCAAGATGGTTGGCCAACAGGTCTGATTTATCTTGGTCAGTGGTAGCAAGATTGTTGTTCTGATAGCGAAGAGGGGGAATGGTAGATTTATGCTTTAAAAGAGCTTTAGTTTTTCTCCAAAGAGACCCATTTGAGGGTGAAAGAGATTGAATATGGGAAGTGTATAGTTGATTTTTATGTTTCTTGAGAGTTGACTTGAGTTTGTTGGAAAAATAGTTGTACCGTTGTTTGTCAATCGGGTAGTGAGTTCGTTGCCAAGTGTTTCGAGCCCGGCGTTTTTGAGATATGAGCTCTCTTATTTCCGGAGTGGTATTTCTACTGGAGTTGTCTTGAGTTGGAGATGTGGTGGTAGATATTCGAAATGAGTCTTGGATGTTGTTTGTGAGGGTGTTTATGGCGGTATCTATATCGGTGTGATTTTTTAACTTAATGTTTAAAGAGGAAGAAGTTGACATAATATTGCGAAATTTGTTCCAATATAATTAATACAATTTTTTACAAATTTGTTAGAATTTTTATTTTTATTTATTCAGTTTCAAATTTATAAATACCTAATAATTTTCAGATAGATAGGTTAACTATCGTTTATAGACCTAATAAATTACAAATATTAAAACCTATTTACATTTATAGTTGTAGCCTGTAGAGTTTGCTATACGTCCCGGAAAACCGGAACTGTTACCAGTTTTCGACTTCTTTGTGTCCCAGTATCTTGAAAAATATTCTTGTAGTAGTATTCCAAGTAATTCTAAATCTAAAAGGTAAAAACTGAAAATTTTCCGTATTTTTCAAATTAATTATAACAATAAATATCGTATGATATAAGTTTATATTGTTTTAGTAATTTAATAATAATAAATATAACATTTTCGAAAAAAAAGTAATTCTACCTATTTTATTGTAATTGTATTTCGCCTTAGATTAAATAAACTGTGTTATTTAATTTATAACATTACTAATAGTAAAATAAATTATTATATAATAGCAATTTAAATACCTTTATAGTTTATAGTAATTGTAGGTTGATAGGCCATCTTCGCTTAGAATTGTTTTTCGTAAGGTGTGATTTATTATTGGATTCAAATTTAACTCGCTCATTATACACTAAACTAGGTACTCAATTATGTGATAAACTCGTTACCTAGTGTGTAATAGAGGGAATACATATTTCTCCTCTTTTTTGTAGTTACATAATAGTAACTTATACTCAACTTTAGACCGAACTTTCAAATATGAAAAACAAATGGGTAATTTATACGTATATAAAGGAGTGTGATATAAAATTTAATTAATGTACACACAAAACATGCAAATTACAAAAGTACAAAACCTTACATTGGCTATACATCCATTTGGTTTTAAGGAAAAATAACCTAAACGTTTAATATTATTTTTAAATTAAACCATACGATGTAATGTAATGTTATGTTTCTTTAAATTTTTAAAACTAAATACGATTTATCTGGTATCTACCAATATTAAGTGGATGGAAAAATGGCGTAGAAGTCGTCAAGTGTATTATGGTGTTGTGTTTTGTGATGTGCATACAAATATTAGTCATCAATACTTAAAAAATGTTATAAAAAAAAAAAAAACTACTAAGGTACTTTAATGGTTATAGTGAAGAATGTAAATATTATGACACTAACACTAATACCATTGATAAATATTTATAATTTATACTAATATTAATTTCTATAATACTATTAGTCTATCCGATTGCGATAGCTTTAGTATGTTAGGCGAAACAACTCTACGGCTGTCGATTAAATTATTAAAATTATATAATGTTGAATGTTGATTGCGATCTTTGAACTTATACTCGAGTGCCTAAAATATGTTAACCATATTTGAAATGGAGTATCCGAGTGTAGATTTCATTGGTAGTCAGACAAGTCCTCATAGTACTACTTATAAACGACTATATTCATACGTTATCTATCATTATTAGTTATTGTATTATTATAGTTGATTCTGAGTTGGGTAACTCGTTGCATAGCAGTTTAGTTACTAGTTTAATTACAATATTATAATTTGGAATAGCTTAGACAACGATAGAATGGCTCAGGAGGTTTTCTCTTTTTTTCCACCCAAGCCGGTCAATCATAAACATATATATATATATATATATACATTATATAATTAGCTTTTTTAAATTTGAATTATAAACCTGACGTATTTTGGTTAATGGACTGACAGGTTTTAGTTAAATGGTTATTTAGTATTTTGTTTTTTTATGCATTAATTTATTCTCTCTCTGTCCTAAAAGAAAGGCTAAATATGCCCCCATTAATTGATACGTAGTACCTAAGTGCTGATTTAATTACCTGTTTTGATTGCATTTGTTTTCGAAGAGGTGGCTTTTGTCGTACCTACTGGTGAAAATCATTCTTTTTTATTTCGTGAAAGATTCTCCATCAACAGTATATACCCGCAGAATGCTAGTTTTGTAAATCAATGTCTGTCAATATTGCCATTTACCGTCAACGCTTAATAAGTTTAAGTAAGTGTCGATAAATTGTGGTTAACGACGTGTACGAGAGCTTTAAATCATTAGGTGTACAAATAAATAATATTTTACGTCTAATAAAATTCATCTTACGTCAATGTGTAATAATATGTTAATTTATATTAGCAAACAATGTTTTTGACGATACAATTTTAATTTAAAGCTGTTTATAATAATATAATGACTACAAAGTGCTGTGAATAGTGGTATATAAGTAGGTACATTGATGTAGGGTTATGTAATTTTTGATTTTTAGCAGTAAAAAAGTAATAGGTAACTACCTATTATATTTTTATATACACTTTTATTCATTTTATTCGATAATACTTTATAGTAGGTACTGAATAGATGGGTATAACAACAAAATATTCAATACATTAATTTATCTAAGTTTATTTACATGTGGTTAATATTTTACATTCATTTACGGTAGAACATTTAATGTGATAAATTCATCAACAACATAATTATAACTCATTGAGAATATTTTTTTTTTTTTTTTATTATTATTAATTTGCGTAAATGTAGTCTTAACTTGTATTATGACATTGTAAACAAACGGAGGTTGGGTGATGACAAGAGGTGTAATTTACAAAAAAAATAAAACATAATAAGTAGGTACTTAATAATAGTTTGATGGTAGTTAATACATAATAATAATATTTAACATACATTTTTATAGTTAAAATTACTACAACATTTATTGACCATTTAATAAATAATACATATATACAAATTGCAATATTTTTTAAATTAGTACCCACAAGTACACATTTTTTTAATAGGATTATTTTTCGTATAAGTCGTATGTATATCGGTAGTATTGTATTGTTTTGGTCGGATACTATATAAGTAGGAAGAATGCAAATGAAAAACGTATACACAATACACATAATATAATATAGAATGAATTATGCGTATTATAGTCTAAATGAAATAGACTAGAGAGCCTACATAGGCTCTTTAGAATAGGCCAACCTCCAAAAATTTGTTTACTTAAACATGAATACAATATAAAAGTTCAGTATTTCATCAGCATTAATATAGGTATTAACATAACATAGTCAATACATCGTATTATGTTTGAAGATGATCTAGGTAAACGGTGCGATTGATCTTTGAGTGCCGGTGAATTGTTAGAAGAATTGCGTACTGTGTTTCTATTTTCATAATCATCTTCTTCAGAATCAAACGTATTTATAGCATTATCGTCAACGTCTTCACTAGGTGTTCTGGGCTTAGATAAATCCATTTCTGTTGATAAATATAGTGTTATTAAAATAGTTATTTTTTGTTTTAAATTTATTACAATTTACTGTTTGGAAAACACCTTAAAATCTGAGTTAAAATTTTTGTACGGTTTATATATTAGTTATAGGTAGATGTTAATTTTTAAATTATCTTTTTTTAAATATTGGTTTATAATCTGTTTAATAAAAGTGTTTTTGTATATTTATATAGACTATTCAGTTTCCTACTCATGAATTGTGATCATGTATCGATTATTTTTTATTTTAAATTTTGAGCGATTTCGTCTATTTTAATATGAAAATATATTTATCTTACCATATACTCGAATATTTCCTTCAGCTTCTCCAATTGAATTTTTCGATATGCATTTGTATCCTCCTAAATCTGACTTTTTAAGTTTTCTAATTGTCAGTTTCATCTGAGCACTGTAATAGGAAACTGTAAGTTCTGTCATATTGTACTTATCATTTGATATTATCATTTCTCCTAAAATAATATATTAAACCAAAATTAAATTAATTTTAAGTGTTAAATAATTACAATTTATATTATATATAAATAAAATAATAATATATAATCAAATAATATTTTAATTTATTAATTAAGTACAGTGAAACCTTTAGATACTGGATATTTTTAGTCGTCGAAATTTCGTTCATTATTGAAAGATGCCCGTTATTTAGAGGGATTAGTTTATTCCAAAAAAAAAAATTTATATATATATATGTCCACTATTGAAGGTAAATGCTATTTGGTATTTAGTACGGTGTCTAATGTGTTGAGTGAGAGGGGAATTAATACGTTATGTCCGCAGTGATTAAACTTACGACAAAACATTCAGAGTTTTTTTTTTTAAAGTGTTAATATTTCTGTTTCAATGCTGTGTAGTTACACTTGCATAGATGCTTTATTTGATATAAAAAGGTCTGGGATGTGGAAATATCTGAGGATCCATCAATTTTTTAAAAGACACAAAAAGGTATGACTACTTTTTACAGCTTATATTTTATCTTTGGTTCATTATACAGAAGTCTAAAATATAAATAAAATTAATTTTTATTAGAATATATATATATATCATAAGTAAAAATGATTTAATATAATATGAGATTTTTTAATTTAAATATTAATTAAAAATAACTGTACGTAAAAATTAATTTAATGTATAATAAGATAAAATAAAGTATGTATAGTAAATAATACTTAGATTGAAATAAATTTACATATTAGTATTTTTAAATATTCTATTTAATTAATTTCATTACAAAATAATTTTGAGATTTTGATTAAATATGATTATAATCCAGTTAAAACCGGTGTGTGGTTTTAAAAAATAATGTGATTTTAGGTAAGTGTGTTTGTTTTTAATACTACGTATTAGTGTGTGCATTATTGAACGGTTTGATTTAGAGAAAACTGTGCGAAATTGTTGGCGTATAAAGGTGTCAATATTTTAACAACGACTTTTTTTTTAAAGTTTCCCTGCAGGTTATTATGACGACTACCATCAGGAACAGCTGTATAGTAGGTTTCAAATGTAGGTTCCTTATTTTTAACGAATTAATCACTGTAATAGATATGATAAATTTGAATACTCAATGATAAACCATTGTATACAAAAACAATTCTGAGTAGAGACAGATTTTATTTTTATCTATAAATTATTATCATATATATTTATATTTGTCTAAATATTTTGAAAATGTCATTGTATACAATAAATAAAAATAAACCAATTACCTAAACGTTACAAATCTAAGTTTTGTGTACCCGTCTAGTAATGTACTTATTTATTCTATGGTGTTTCGTTAAGTACCAACCTATACGTACGATATAATGATTCACGTATTTAATGCTAAATTTTACTCTTTTATGAACTCTAGTAATTAATTCATGTATCTAAAATAAAACCTAGTTGTATTTAAATAAGTTATTATTAGATAGCCGTTTATTTTTTTTATTTACTCATTTTTAAAACATTTTTATCATTTAGCTATTTATTCAATCTGTATTCCGAAATGAAGAGATTATGAATTATCCTAACTAAATTAGAGAAAAAAAATAAAAATAATTTTGTAATAATACGCATAGTTACTTAATGTATATTTTTATAAATTTTTACATCGCTATTATTGATTTACCGCGAAAATTGAGTTGATTTATTAATATTTGTTTGTACAAGTCTGTAGGTATAAAGCTTGTAATCTGAAATCCCTAGTTACTAATTATGTTTGACAGCTATGGCCGATCGAATTATAATATGTAACGACTATTGATTTTCATTAAAGTTCTGGAAATGTAATATATTGGATAATATGCATATTTGAAATTCAATATTATTAGTTAATGCATACAAGTATACAACAGTATAAACTTGAAGTTTAAAAAGTAATAATTGAATGCAATCATTAATAAATAATACTTATTGGTTATTACTTTTATATGTATTCAGTTGTAAATATTATGGTGTGTTAATGAATATATGATGTGTAATATTAAGATTTGTAAATTAATTCATTTTAATGAAGCTTACGTAGTTCGTTAGTATTATTAATTTATTATGTATGTTCATTGTTCATATATTATTTATTGAGTCCATTTCTACGGTCCTCATCGATGTGGAATTTTCACATTTTGCTATCATAAATCAATGTGCATCAAGTTTCGTCGTTTGTGCATAAATATTTCTAGAAGTTTAGATTGGGGGGGGGGGAGAGGTTATAGAAACAAAAGGCCCCGATTTGGAATTTTAACATTCTATTTGGGCAGATCGTTCATGCATCGTTTGTGCACGAATGTGAACGAAGTACTGTTATTTGTACGCTAGGTATTGTTTCTGGATATATAACAAAAATATATTTTGTCGGTGGAGAGGTAAAAACAATTAATTTGCCCCAGATAAGAATTTTCGAATTCTGTTGATAGATATTTTTATGTTCAATTAGGTGCAAGTGTGCAATGCTCCAACACTTTACTTCCAACTGTTTAGAAGTTTATTCTAGAAGAAAATTGGATTTAATTGATAATTTGGTTGAGGGGAGGGGATAAGAAATTCCTAGTACCGCTTAATTATTAAAAAAAAACAAAAACCTAATCACGATAAAAAAAGCTAAAATTAAAAAAAACTAGAATTTTTATGTAAAACCAACTTTGTTAACTTCCCCGTTTTAATAATAATCGGAGAAATACATAATCTGACCGATTTAAACATAATCCTGACTAAAAACTATATCTTTTATTGGACTATAACCCACAAGATCACATTTAATATCTGTTAATCAGCACTTATAATACATAAATACTTCTCATTATACATCCAATATTTAGGATTTTTTTAATGGGTGTTATCGCTTTATATATATACATATATGTATTAAACATAAATTAAATCGATCCGCCCTTGAAAACATTCATACATACACACACGTCACACACACATATATTTATATAAAAACATGAAACAATAATATCAATAATAGTAATATGTTTTCACTTAAATAGATACAGAATTATTTATATTTAACACATGCTAAAAGGGGTTGTCTTATAACCCAAAAACTCCCTTGTATACACACCTTGTATATATTACGTGTTTCGAACGTGCGTAATTCAATCCTAAGTAAACAAATGAAAACTTAAATAACAAATATATCATAATATAATATATTTCCCTCGAAGCCAATTTGGATGACTGGTGTGATATATTTGAATTAGTGGTATTTAAATTTTAAATCCATTTAAATAGATTGTTTTATTAGCATTTTACAACTGCGGAATCCGCGGACCGTTTTGTAGAATTAACACGGAATTAAAATTATATATTATACCTATATCTATAATTTATTGCTTTGGTCTCTACTATTATGTTACATGCGTTTAATTTTAGAACACGTTTATTTTTATACTCTATATTCAATCATCAATAATTTACTATCGTTATTCTTAATTCATAATAAATTATTTGACGTGTGCATATTGCTATCATACTTATACCACATGCATTTCTACAACTTAGACGCGAGGATTACAACACGGTTACTAAGTGGTATTGTTGTAAAACACGCTGGGATCCAATTTTTTTTTTGTTTGTTTTTATAGCGTCAACTTTTCAAACATTAATTTTGCGAATCTGTTGGTCCACACACGTAGACACAAAAGTTTGGAGTGTATTTTAATTGAATTGCATAGAATGGCATGTAAGTCTTAGTAAAATATCTTGAGCAACGGAAAGACGTGGCGTGCGTATACACCAATGAAAGTAACTACACTACAATGACACAGTATGTAATACGGGAACATGAAACTACCGCGCCGACGGTGCAAAAAAAAACTATATATCACATAAATATTCATACTTTGGAGAGTCTTCGCCGCCATCATGCGGACATTGTACTCCATTACTACTACGACTACTACTACTTCTACTACTACTACTACTACTACTACTACTACTACTACTACTACTACT